TTCTTTAATCCTATACCTCCTAGAAGTACTACAGACTTTCTATGCCATCGTACCGTAGCCTGGACACTGAGGGACAATCCATTGGTTGGCAAAGGACAAAGGTGAAATGGCAGAGGACAAGCATCGACAAGGAATGGAAAGAGAAGAGCAGCAAAGAAGAAGAAGCAGGAGGGGACATATTGGAAATACCAACTCAGAGGCGGAGAAGCTGGCCATTGTGGTTCTAGCATGTGCAGTGGAAAGGCTCGAGAAGCAAAATCACCCGCAACTTCTGCCCTTTTCCGGTTGTTAGTGACTCTCGGGACCTAACTCCCTATCCCTCACATGTGATCATGGCTTTAGCTAGGTACTTGCGAAATCGCTTCATAGCTACCCATTATCCACTATAGACGATCAAATTTCTATAAGAACAGGGGTCAAAAATCTCAAGAACCATCTCGAATTCGTTAGCTAGCATAATTCGTTCTAAGCGGGGAGATCATTACGAGGAACTCCAACTCCCGGGTCATTAGTTTTAAATGGCAGTTTTTTTCTTTCTCTTTTATCACCATAAAGGAGTCCATTATAGCGGTATAACATAATATGGAAAAACAGGGGAGGAGGAGAAAAGGAGAGAGAAGAAGGATAGAACAGGAGATGACAGATGATGAGAAAGCCGGAGGACATAGTTGAATAGGGTAAAGTGGTGAAGCTAAGAGAATCCGGAGATGAGATATGACATGACGGTTTAACGCCAAAAGGAAGAGTTTAGTTAGTTAGACAAGGAGCGGAAGAAACAAAGTTAGTTACCAAAAGGGACCTAGTACCGGCATGTACTGTACTTGTACAGTACCGCGGATAAACGATGATCCCAACTAATTCCATTTCTACATGGGTCCTCCTTGCACTGTATAATATCGCCTATGATAGAAGTTCACTTCTCGATATGAGCTTGTTTTGTATCAATCTTCCCGGGGCGTTTTATTCATTTATTGTCTACGGTAGAGTGCAGTGGGTCACTCCCTTCAGGCTGAACATTGTATATATCCTGCCATTCCAATTTAACTTATCGGCTAGTTCATATCACATTGGGATGATGTTTGAATACAGTCGCGCCCCGCTATCCCGGATCCCGCTGAACTGGATACCCTGCTGAACCGGATAGAGTCCTTGGCTCCTCCAATTCCTCACAGAAATTACCCCCGTCGAACCGGAGAAGTGGATTCTCGGATTCGCATAAGATTTTGGGAAATCTTATCCTAGAAAATTAACCTGCTGGACCGGATCCTATAACTGCTGGCTGAAAAGCTAGCCAAAAAGAGGAAAACAAGGCGGGACTGAAGGTAAAAGTAGGAGTAGGGTGAAAGAGCAAAGAGCTACTAAAAATAGGGAAAGAGGAAGGACAGAGGAGGACATATACACACCAGGATCTCAATTCTTGAAAACCGCAAACCTCTATTACCAGCACAGCCAATCAATGAGAAAAAAAAAAGGTTGAACAAAGATAGAGGTGGGGTATGTTCCTAGCAGTGACCCAGAGGAGGAGGAAGATGGAACATCCGCAAATTCAGAAAGGCTATCAGCTATCCCGGATATTGAAATGGTGCGATACTTTAGTTATCCATACCCGCCCTGTTTCCCAAGCCGATTCATACACACGCACACACACACCCGATTCTCTCGAGGAACCGATTGGGAGGGATGGGAGCAAAAATCTATTCATATATTAAAAGGTGGCGGACCGTCACACCTCCCGGCTCATTGCATTAGCGGTATATAGACCAGGTTTTTAACTTATATCCTGCCCCCAATATTACCATCTTTCCTCCCGGGAGTTTATATTACGACCTGAAAAGGTGAATGGTGTGACATTATCCTCTCACTCGCAAATCACACTCACCTCCTGCCACCGTGAATGCGATTATTCAGCAAATACCCCCCGCTCTCCACTGTTCATCAGTGCAGTTATTATCTACTTCACATAAAATCACTCGTCAAGTCCTACCTTCCGTTTCTTATCTCGCACGACCTACCATACCAAACACTAGCCCGGTATCATAGCAGTAAGTTGTTTCTCGCAACCATGTACCAATACCGAAAGATGTGAGTGAGAGAGCATGTAGGTAGTACGAGTAGGTAGTACGAGTAAAGTGCCAACTCTGCCCCCGGTGTATTTAGGTAGGTTTAGAATTTCTCGTTTGCCAGTCCGGCAATTCGCACTGGTCAAAGCGCAAATGGACGGGCAAAGCAAGGATGAAGCGGCCAGAGCGGGAAGTGGTGGTGGGAGCCCCGGGTCGTCGTGGATGAAGCACGATTGGGGATTTGGGGAACTGCCTTTAGTGTTTGGAAAATTGAATTCGATTCTAGATAGACGTGTCTGGTGCAAAGAAAAACACAATGATAGATAGTGAGCATTAGGGCTCCAATGGTAGCAAAGAAAGAAATTAGTTTCGTAACTATTCACGCTGGGCAACCTGCTCGACTTCTCGTCTGCCAGGAAGGACTCGGTATAGAAGTTTAAAACCGCAAAACAATAATAATAGTAATAATAAGGAATAGCCATTATACAAGCAATTTAACTTAGGGAATTTAGGAATACCTGAGTATATTTAAACACCGCAAAAGAAAAAGAAAGAAACTCTAATTAGATTCCGAAGGGTGGTTTGGAGCAAAAGGTATAATAAAATAAAACACCCACCACTTTATAATAGAGCATATTGATGCATCACAACCACATAACCACGGGCCCCAGCAGGGAAAAAGAAAAATTCGTGATTGAATTAAAGGGAAGCCCCCCATGTTTATGTATACAGGGGGGACATATCATACATCCATTATTATTAGCGCAAACCACGAAAAGTTCACATAGCAGAGAGGATACTAATGTAAAAACCACGAAACAACAGCAACAGCAGGGCGAAGCGTAAGACAGAGATGAACAGGCTAAGGATCCCAATTATTTGTAGTTCGTAATTGCCGCAGCAGACATGGATTGATGACAGATGGGTACTCGGCGAGGGGTACGCTAGTGTCTATCGGGGTCTGTTCAGACTGGCATATTATTTGTGGGTTGTGTTCCCAAGGCCGAGGGGTAACAAATCCACAGGTCGAAATTTTCCCGCCAAACCCGGAATGGAATATATGAAAAAGGAAAGGACCACTTTTTCAGGACAATAGACTTTTGTATGGGTTTGGGCGGAACCTTAGCAGGAAGATAGAGAGGTCGGATAGAGGTCGTGAAAGCTAATATGTGCGTAGAATAGTGCAAAGGCAGCGCGCACTCATTGATCCGAGAATGATGGAGAGGCTTATGCCTCGCGGGGCTGGACCACAGTATGAGTTGTCCTTCTGGGGGCATATAGTAGCTCTACTACATCAAAATGCCGACCTATGATAGCCCCTGTAAGTGCCGTTGTGCCTCTATCATCCGGTATGTCAGGGCAGACATCCTCCCGCCCCAATAGCAACTTGGCAGCTTCGACATTGCCATGCGCGGCAGCTGCCAAGATTGGTGTCGTACCGGTACTATCTGGTATATTGGGGTCGATATCCTCTCGCTCCAAGAGCAGCTCCACAGTTCTCACAGAGCCACGCATGGCAGCCCATAAGAGCGGTGTTCTGCCGGTACCATCTTGCATGTTGGGGTTTATATCATTCCGTTCCAATAGCATCTCGACAATTTCATAAAGGCCATGCCCAGTAGCCATAGATAGTGGAGGGAGCCCCCTAGCATCCGGTGTGTTAGGGTTGACGTCCTCCCGTCGTAGTAGCGCTCTGACAACTTCCCCACCCCATGGCCTGATAGCTAGCGAGAGCGGCGTTCGGCCATCATCGTCTACCACGTTGGGATCGACATCTTCCCGTTCTAGTAGCAGCCTCACCACCTTAGCCCGTTGATGCCGGGCGGCCACTGCCAGGGGTGTTTTACCCCTGCCAACTGGCTTATTAGGGTTGACATTATTCTGCTGTAATAGCAGCTCGACAGCTTCCAGACGCTCATTGTAGGCGGCCAATAAGAGTGGTGTTTGGCCATCGCTGCTCGGCATGTCTGGATTAACATCTCCCCGTCCTAACAATAACCTCATTATTCCACAGTGCCCGTTCCTGGCAGCCCATGAGAGCGGTGTTCGTCTGCCGTCAATCTGTATGCCCGGACTGACATCGCCCCGTTCCAATAACAGCCTGGCAACTTCCTCATGTCCGTGGCGGGCAGCTAACGAGAGCGGTGTTCGGCCATGGTTATCCGGGAGGTCCACACTAACATCCCCCCGCTTTAGCAATGACTTGACTATCCCAACGTGTCCATTTCTAGCAGCCCATGAGAGCGGTGATCGCCGGTCGCTACCAGGTAGGTTGGGGTCGATATCTTTCTCTCCTAATAGTATCCCCACTACTTCACGATGCCCGCACCTAGCAGCCACAACAAGCGCCGTTCGGCCAGTGTTGCTTTGTATATTGAGGCCGGCATCCGTCCGATTCAATAGCACTTTGACGATTTCCGTGTGTCCGCCCTTGGCAGCATAAATGAGTGATGTCCGACCGTTCACGTCCCGTATAGTGGGGTTGACATGTCGTCTTGCTAAAGCTGCATCCATGACTGGCGGTGTTGGGTGTGCTTTCCGCTAACTTGGCTTAACGTCAGGAGAGATCCGAGATTTTGTCTGATATGTGGGTCAGGTAGGCTGCGGTTGAAACTGTCATGATGCTCGGGGCCTCAGGCTGTAGCCTTTATATACAGACCTTAGATTAGCTCCATATTATGATACCAACCGAAATTTCTTAGCAACAAAACCTAAGGTTTCTGACATCTAGAGCCCTCACTCGGTTCCACTCTCTATATACACAACCTATCACTCGATATATGCGAGCACCGTAAATAATATGCACTAGAACTAACAGATAGTAATGTTACCCCTCACTAATATGATACCTTCTTTTGAATCTAGAGTCGACGTCTAGTGTTTAAGCAGAACAAACCGGGGGTCTATCGTGGGAAGTCATTTCTCTCAACTATCTAATTCAAAGAACGAAGCCTGCGATTTTCTCCTCAATTCTCATACCCTAAGATCCTCCGCCCCATTGTGAGTGTTGAAGAAGATATTGGCCTTAAATTGTCTCGGGTTTAACAATATAGCTATGGGATTAAGGCGCTGCGTGATAGTGGGCGATGTTATCGGTACGGGAACTAAGGCTATCAAAGAGGGGCAAAAAATATACGCAAAGTCCGCAAGGCGTGCGTGGTATTCCGGTCATACCGAAGTTACCCCATTTACCAAACAAAATACCAATGAAAAGGCATAAACTCCACATCCAAACCTCATCATTCCCTCATCAGAAAGTTAAAATACAAGTATCCCATTAATCTCATTCCAGTCCCAGAAACCCAGCGCTACGGAAGAAGCCTAAAGGAAATCGCCATCCCCAAACGACGAAAATGGATTCGGCGGCCCTCCTCGAAACCCCGGCGGACCCCCGGTTCCACCAGGCCCAAACGGCCCTCTGGGGCCCCGTAAGCCTCCTTGCGGAACATCACCGGGCCCAACCGGATCGTATCGTGCTCCAGGTGGAAATCTAACACACACCAGTCAGCACTACACCCACAAGAGCTAACTACAAAGCAAGGCTATATAGATAAATAAATACCTTGGGTCGGGGATTCCTCCACCACCACCGCCAAACATAGGATGGTCTGGTCCTGGGTGCATTCCGCTCGGCCCGGGCTCGCTCCATCCAGGGCCTTGACCAAAGAACGGACCGACAAGCGGAGGATTCCGGCCGAGGCCTGGAGGGTTCAAGTCGTCTTCCCCGATACTCAATGGGTTTCGGCCGCCGGGGCCCATGCCGTATCCACCGCTGCCTCGCGGTGGTTGGAGAATTTCATATTCATCGTCGAAGCCTGGGGGTCGCTCACCACCCGCCGGAACGGGTGATCGGCCGGGCTGCGGGCCGAAGCCTGGACCGCCGTATGGTCTCGGGAAACTTGGTGGGCCAAACTCGCCTGATCGTCGCCTGGGCTGTTGTGTCTCTTGACGGGTTGAGCTTTCCCCGCCGCGGTCTTCTTCGTAGCCCGGTTTGTGGAGTCCCGGAACCAATTTCTGCACTATATTGATCTTGACTAAATTGGCCAGATCTTGCGCTCTACTTGCGCTAATGAACCCGTCTTCCAGCTTCGCCACGCCATTCCCGGCGGAGTATGGGAAGAAGCTCTCGCTAAGAAAGTCCTTCACAACAATGTCAAAAGAGGTGGTTTTGTCGTCGCCGATTCCCAAACCCATTACTACGGCTTTGTTCCCCAGTCGGTTCACCTTTACCAAGTATTGTAGAGACGATTGCGAGTGCGCATACCGGAAACCGTAGCTCCCAGGAGCAGCGTTCCAGTTCTGTGGGAGTGGCTTAGGATCCGAGCCTTCGATGGGCGTTTCTGCAACCAATTGTTAGCATGGCGGTAACAGGATAGTAAAAAATTGAGCAGTTCAACAGTACCCAGATTGTCATCCTCACTCAACCCCACCAGGCGAAAGCCCACCGATAGCATGCACGCATGGATGAATATCGCAGCAGCATCGTAGGGTGATTTCAGAGGAGGTGCCGTCCCAGGGCCTTGCGGAAAGCTCGCCTTCACGATATTGAGAACAGTGGGGGGGCTAAAGGGGATCTCAGCCATAATGAAGCATAAATCTGATTTGACAAAATTAGTGGCGATTGCGTTTTTCTCTCGGTTGAAGCCAAATGAAATAGAGACGATGGTTTGACTGTGATATGGTGGGAGGCGAATGCGGGGACGATTGTGTCATATCGGTACCCCAATAAACGCATGGCGGGAGCGTTGGAACGCGTGAATGCCAAGGCTCACCTAGCAATAATTTATGAGGCTCATCTTGAGCCACCCTTCCGTGATAGGTGCGATATGAGGTGTCCGCGGACCCATACGCTGGGATGATACGGCGCGGCTGTGATGGCAGATGGGGGACACATCTCATTGACAACTTTAAATTACATCTTGCACCAAAATGTCATTTCCTGTCACTATAGACCACAGTATGCCGCTACCATCCAGCTATCACTAACTTAAATTCTGCTGCGAGAGGATTCAGGTCCCAACTTGTCTACTCGTAATGTTTCAGCGCTGTTTTGTACTGCACCGTATATACTGTACTATTACTGCACTATACTCGAGCACAGTATATCCAAGAACCACCGACCAACGCACCGTACCTGATGGCAAAGCAAAAAAATATGGTACAACGGAGATTTTTAGAAAAACAGCGAAAATTAGCTACTAAACAAGTGGAGGAAGTAGATTCAGACTTGGTTTCCCATAATTCAGTAATAGCTCTTCTCAACTGCTTGGCACTTTGGTTGATTCGGTTTTTTACTTTATTAAGCTGTTTTACTGATACCGGTATAATATCGCATGTTGGGATTTTTCGTTGTGTTATACCATATTTTTTGCTATGCCATAAGGGAGATTCAAAGCTCTCGGTGCACGGAAGGTAAATTACGGGATAATTTCATCATACCGAAATCCCAATCGAGGCCTTCAGGATACGACATCGTACCAGTGGAATGTTTCTCAAAATTCGCAGCTCCTCCAGCCGCCAGCAAGAGCACCCCAAGAGTAGCCATGATAATATGATACCGGTGCCACTAATTTGCGCCACCTCTAAATTCTCAAGATGCAAAAAAATTCGATCCTTAAACTTTACAGCCATTTTATCATCCACTAACATAAGTCAACCCATCAACCGCTCAATCACAGCAAGCCACAGTCCATTCACCTGCTCACATCTCAGAAGAACCAGCAAACACCCGCTAGAACGGCAAACTCACTCCACCGCCATACTGAAAAGTTAAAATCGTCCCTATCATGCTCAGGAATGAACAGAAGAAACTCAAAGCCTCTCGCCCCCTCTCCCCCACGTGCACTGGTATATTGCATCGCCGCCCAAACTGACCTGCCAAGAAACTATAATACAGCCCACAAACCCCCACTCTAACAGCTAGATTCATTGATTCAATATCTCAGAGAATCCGCATCATGATAATGGTACAAGCAATAACAGGCGGGAAAAAAAGAAAGAAAAAAAAAGCCCAAACCAGACCCTTAACACCCAACCCATTTGACTCGAGAGAAAGGGAGAATAGAAAGAAACAGAAATTGCAGGGAAAAACGCCGGAAGATCATTTTTTACTGTAGTAATAGTAGTAATAGTAGCAGCAGCAGCAGCAGCAGTAATAGCAGTAACAGAAGGGGAAAGTCGGACTAAAGATAAGGGGAGGGGCACCGCAAAGCCAAGGCAGAGAAAGTGTAGAACACGAAACAGAGACCAAACGTAATCAAGACAGAAATAGAGGTAGAGAGATGGAGGCCCACGGGAAAGCGTAAAGCAATATAACAGAGGATGACTTGAGGTGGGTGGAGGTAAGGATTAAGGTAAAGCCTAGGTGATGAGCCCCTCTTATTTCATCAACCGCGATCCCCTTTGCACACACCATCGATACTCGGCACTACAAGGAAAATAATCTCCCTCCGAGTATGAATCACATCAAGGATTGCCCGGCGGTAATAGCTGCCCTTCCAATATCTCTACCAACATTCTCGACCTAACCAACGGGATGTCGCTCGCCGTAAAGTCAAGTCTACCGCTTCTAGTGAGCACCTCAGCAGACTTGAGCGCAAACACTCCGCAGTCGTTCATGTTGCGTTGCTGAGGAGCGCCCGGCATTGCGTAGTCGACCCAGTCAGTATCATTAAATTTCCCTCCGGTTTCATCACGCATGTACCCCCTCATCATCTGACGGGCAATTAGCAAATAAAGATCGACACCGGGTGTGTGGCTAGGGAATAAGCTCACCTTATACGGGGCAGGCCTAGATTCCGGTGTGAATTTCCCTCCCAAGGAATCGTAGTATTCGAACCGTTTTTGCTTAAAGTTTACCACAGCGAGACACCAGTGGTTGCCCCCAACATGGGCCGGCATCAGCAGGTAGTCCAACTTCAAGAGATCCTCGCCCCCACACTTGGCACGTCTTGCCCATCTTGCAACTGCTTTGTGACCGCCATCCTTGAGTTTTGGCCAGAAATAGGTGTTGTGCGCGAAGACCTTCTTGGGCCCATTTGGGAACGAGCTATTGGTCCTCTCGCAGATGAGGTTCATGTAGAAATTTATGATCTCATCATTTAACCATTGGTTCGGCTTGAGACGTTCGAAGTCACGGTTCGTGATCGGGATATTCCATTTTGTGATGTAGGTCTTGTTGAGGCCTGGTCGGCTAACCTCTGCAAAGGTTCTTTCGGCTTTCTCTCTCCGGACTGGACCAAGCGGCGGTATTACTTCCTTCTTGATTTTGTTTCGTGCCTGTTGTTTCATTCCTGTCAGCTTTGAAAGGGCCCCGGGGGAGAAGCGGAGAGAAGTGGAGAGGAGGGCATTTACATCTTCAGCTCTCAACCTCTGAATCTCGATCTCCCGTTCTCTGCGCTTCCGTTCCACTTCCTTTAGATTCAGAAATCCATGTTCGCCTCTCGCCCGAAGTTGTTCCAACAAGACGTCGAGCGGTTCGGACTCGATATGGGCCTTCATTTGAGATCTACGAAGCTGCATGTTGTGAGCATAGCAAACCAAGCCCCCATAAATAGTCACCACTTACCGCTTCTTGTTTCCTCCTTTTTTCCTTTTCATCCTTGGATTCAGGTTTTTGCACTCGGCTAGAGCTTACTTGTCCGTTAATAGATGCTAGTCTAGCAGATCGCCGCAATTGATCATTCGGTAACCGCCTGTCAATCGATGGAGTCTGCAAAATTGACTGAGCTCTTGGGCTCAAGTGAGACTTCCATGACACTCTATGCGACAAACCGAGCTTATTTGTCATATGTCCGGGGAACCTTGGTGTCAGGCCGGTACTGGGCGACAGGAAACCAGCCTGAGCCAGGCGGGTAGCAAACTTCTGGTCCCTCCGGCGCACCGCACCCCGTAAAACAGACCTTATCCGCAAAGGTTTATTTATCGGAACTGCAAAAAAAGGCTCCTCTCTTTTCACTATCGGACAATCGAGTCGAACCCTTTCGGAACCGGAAAAGGCCTTCGGCGCCGGCACTCGAGGCAGATTGGGGAAATGCTCGTCCCCAGAAGCCGACGCCTGTGGTGAAGGTAATTGCTGAGTCGTAATGGTACTTTCGCTGGCATTCGGCGCGGGCGCTTTTACCTTTAGCCCATCCCGGATGGCGCCGCCCTGAGAGCGTCCGTATTCTTTTCCGGAAGCCCGAGAGTGGACAACATTGGGAATGGGTGCGATTTCGTCGTTAGCTAAGTTTTCAAGAGGTAGATCAGTAAGCTGAAGCCCAAAGCGCGACCCAGACAGGTTACTAGGGGTGGGTACAAGAGCGGGACAAATTTTCGGCTTCAGTTAATTTGGGCCGCTTCGATCCAGGCCTTCCACCTATCATGTAATCTGGTTCTGTTGTTTCCACTGTTTGCGCCGCTCCTGCGGCTCCCACTATTTCTATCGTCTCCTCGGGTCGCCGAATGACTGTCCCAAATCAGCGTTATCAGTAAAAATGCTCAATGAGGAAAGCAAACTTGAGCGGGCGCATCATACAACTCCAGTCAACGACAGCTTTCCAGATGCTGCTAATGTATCCAAATCCCCACATATTCGAAGCACCAAACGCGAGGGACGCCGTACGAGCACGGGGAGGGGCAGTTGTGGATGAACGACTGCTTTCGTCCTCCCCACGCTTCCTCTTCTGCGAGCTTGTCGAGGGCGATGGTGAAGTGGTCGGTGAGAAAATAGCGACAGGGGTAGCCGGGCCGACAGAGGATTCGGGGGTGGTGGTCAGGTTATCGGAAGCTATCACGGCAGACTCCATGGAAGAGCCAAGTCGCGTGTAGCGAAGCAAAACAGTATTCGAAGAAACGATTGGTGATGCAAGTTACAGCTGGAGGTTTTTATCGACGTAGCAGATATGCGTTGTAGGCTGCGGCCGAAAAATAAGGGTGGCCAAGGAAGGCGTACAAAGAGGATGCAAGCGTGTCGGAGGCGGCGGGTTGCGACAAACAGCAGGAAGACCCACGAAGAATTTTCGTTCGGAAGAGCAAGAGAGGGGAGATCAGGGATGCGACAGGCTCCGAGATGTTGGGGAGAGAAATTGCAGAAGAGGGGCAAGGTGGATGCGGCCCCCAGTTGTTGCAAATTCAAGGGGCTCAATGGTGAGAATGGATTTGACCAGCGGGAGTGGGTTGGGACGATGGAACTGATGGAACGAAAATATATGGCGGGTAGACTATCATACAATAGAAGGGTGCCGCCACAGGAGGGTGCGGCCGCTAAGCTTAGTGGAAGGGTGGATGCTTATGTAATATGCTTAATCCACAGTCACGTGACATACCGGCTTCACCGTGGCGGACCTTCTATCAGAACCAATTCTATGTCATATCATACCGATGCCAATACTATATTGCAATTGGTGAGACCCTTCTCGCATCAATCAAGCGAGCCCATCTCATCCCCGCCATACAACCTGGATTGCCGGGTTCCCTGCATTCTGTAGCTCCTTCCTCACTTCCTGCGTTCAGTCATCCTACCGCCCGCCGTATCATACCAAATTCCCAGACACTCACCAATCTCACAGCAGCCGGGTACCTCTTGCCAAAAAAGTCCTGGCTTGTATCATACTTTTATTTTCTCCTCCCTTCCTACACGCATCATACAAACACACGACCACCAGATGATATTTCACGGAAATTGTGATAGCTTAATTCGTGCCTGACAAAGTCCGAAGGCAAACATACGGTGCAATTCTCACCCTTTCACGGTTTTTGCTTCCAAACTTGTCTCAACCTCAACCCCACCTAACCTATCAAGAAGTCGTGCCGGCCCACATCGTGAGCTCAAAGGTTTCCGTAGTGCCGGCTCGCAGTGCTGTGGGATCGTGATGATATGGCCATCAGAGCAGCTTAGAATCCTATGCAATGTCCCATCCGGAAACCCCTCGCCCGGAAGAAGAAAAGCCCCCCCCCCCCCAAGGCATAAGGATGCGGAATCCGAGATGAGCATGTTCGAGACCCACATGATCGGTAGTAATACATTTACCGGTTCCGGTAATTCACCACTTGATTTCTCCGTCTCTGGACGAGCTCCATGGCCAATTAGACGAGACCCAGGCAACAGTTAGCATGGCATTCGTATAATACCACTCTTATAGCCCTGGCCCAGGGAAGCCGGGCGAACAAGCGAACGTCGAATACGGTAACGGTTTGGACTCCTGGAAAATGCAAGGCCTCGAGCCCCCAATACTGGACAGGATGTTCATCGCCCATGGGCACAAACCAGTACGAGTACCGGTACTGTCGTCAAAGGCCGTGACACCAAGTCTCGGCCTCGTTCATAGAACACCGATACCGTAGATGTCTCAGGAGCAAATCACGGACTCCTACTCTGCTCCTTCCGCCACGGCACTCGCACCGGTTCCCGGTCCCCATTTGACCGTCTTTGGAACAGCACGGCGCCCAACTACCGTAGGTCCAAGACATGGCAAAGCTTTGGGCCAAAGGTCAGTCCCTGCACAAGCTAAGCTTCAAGACAGGAATTGCTATTCTGGGCAAGTTTATAGGGCAGTGTGCTATGAGCTACAGGTAAGTTATCACACCTCTACAGGAGCCATAAATTAAGTGCCAGCGCCCCATGGACCAGTTTTGAAGATGGTGACCCCACCATCGGAATTACACTTAATAAGCGAGTGCGGATAAACAGTCTGAACAAATGATCTGGCGTTCCCGCATTATTTGAAGGGCGCTAGGGTCCAGCTGAGCTGCTTGTAAGCTTGGAGCCTCATATGATACAGCGTTGCTTGTCGAATCTCAAGGGTAGGGGCCGGGCAAAGAGAAGGAGGGGTTGAGGATAAATAAGGTCCCCGAGCCTGCCCTCCGCATCTCCTCCACCTCTACATGCAGCAGAGTATGATACCGGTATCGCAGCACACATGAAGCCATATATGGGGGGGTATTTCGGTCATCTTGATTGGAAATAGAACGTGCATAGGTTACTAACTCATCGGGTCAATACTTTTTGTGCGGAATCTGCGAGTGGGTTACGTTGCGATTGCGGCTGTACAGTACAGTACTGTAGGGTACAGCGCGAAGAAGGAATTTTGTACTCGAGAGAGGAGAGTTGGTGATACGATATACCATACGTCCGCCGATTTTCTGCTCTAGCTGCCGATGATCTGGTCCTTGGGGAATGAGTATGACAGCCAAATGTGCCTCTGAACGTATGCGGTGGATTCGAAATTAGATCTCCACGGACTGTGCGTTTCTGCTCTTATTGCCCCCGAGCATCCATCACCACTGGGAGGTTTCAAAAAGCTTCAATCCTTCAGCCGGGCTCATTTTTCCCTATCGTACTTGCCGTAACCCACCACACCGTGCATGCAAGATACACCAGGCATCACACCTAATACGGCATCCCCTACCAACGGCCGCTGAAAGAGCCGAGCAGGACTGATGCTTTCGAGGGAAAACCATCCATACTCCCGAACGGCAAACTAACGAACCCTTTATCTCTCTTCCCTCTCCTCCCCCCCAGAGCACCCCTCTCCACGCCCCGGTTACCACCAGGGAACCACTCTTCACCCCTCTGATCATCCCCTCCACCCCCGTCACACCACCCCATAACCCACCGACACCCCTCCACAGCTCTTTGCCACACCCCTTGGTTGAGACAGGATTCTCTTCGATTGGATTGCTTCCCGGTGCATCTCCCGAGATCCTTCTCTCTCGCAAAAGAGCCGCTTCATACCTCCAGAGCGGCGGTTGTGGGCCCCAGGAGTCCACTCTTTACCACACAGCACTCGTCGTGTGCGTCTTTCCCTCAACACGCGCATACACATCCCACACCAAGAAAACGTGGGTTTTGGGGGGCGGGGACCGCAGCAGCCCTTTGCGCCTCCGAGTGTGCGAATCATCCTCAGCCCTGTCCAGCCTCCACCAGAGAAGCGACCGCGGTCAACGCCCAACTCTCTTCCCCGCTGCGTTCCCCCCTGAAGGACTAACACTCCACTTCCGGCCCTCGGGAACACGAAAAGGGAAAAAAAGTGAAGGGAAAAGAAAATAAGGGGAAAAGGCGGAGGAAACCTGTAACAAGAGTCCCCGTTCGCTTCGCCCTGGACAGATCCACAGCCGAAAGAACGACACTCCCGATAATTGGTGAAGGGTAGTCGGCTTACCCCTCTACGATAACCGGGAGTGGGGCCACAAAACAAGCGGCGGTTACGATGGAGGGTTCCAAAGTAAATGCATTTGTACGGGTGTCCGGCCCACCAAATCGCAATTACTTGGTCGGATATCCTGGAATTTCAGCTACCCTGGTATCTATACCCTTTCCATTCTTTCACATACTTGACCACCCGATGACACCCCTTTCCCTTTTGGATTCCAGTCGCCATGTTTCTTGGGAGAAAGGTTGAGAATGTGCGGGCGGGAGCTAACCGGAGTCTTGCCATTAGCCGCGAATAGAGGGTAAAGTGGAAATCAGGCCTGGAGCGGGATACAGTGCACCGGTCGGAATTTCATACGTTGCCATTGGCCTCTACCGGAAAGAAACAATACACCCACATGCCGACAGCATAATCAGTAACCACCTCGCAGCGCCACGGAAAGAAATCAGAGATCTTGTGGGGAAGGAGATGCGATTATTTCAATGCTCGGCAGGAAAGGCTTACGAGAGTGTGCTGGCGATGGACCTACCATTTGTCTTATTCATACCATTCTCGAAAGCCGGGAACGAGGATATAATCAAGGTGCCACCAGCGAGCCTACAATTGCCTTCGCGCGTGGCAGAAACATATTACGAGTTGGTGGTGTCGGTACAGCAAGGCTCGGCAGATCTCAAGAAACATTCATTCCCTGTGCCCCTGAGTAGATACGACACATTATCGTCCTTCGGAATGTACAACAGGCCGGAGACGCAGGAGCGGGTTTCGGATCATTTGGTAACACTGAGTATGTGTCTGCAACGATGGTCTTTTGGCCCTAACGATCCTGTTGAAGTCCGGGTACGGCTCACTCCGAACCCAGATTGGATGTCAAAGGCAAAGAAGGTTTCAATACAAAGGATAGTGGTGGTCATCGAGGAGCAGATTACATACAATCCCGAGGGTGACGAGCCCACAACAAAGATCAACAAACTCATATCAAAGAAGGAGGTGGTCGGACAAAAATTACCGCCGGATGGATATCAAAGCGATATAACAATTCGACTCCCGGCTAAAGAGCTCAGAGATAGCGATGGATTCCTACCACCCCCGAAAGCTGCATTCCCAATGCATCCAATTGTTGGGTTCACCACAACAGCCACACTATATAAGATAGATTACTTTTTATCTGTCAAGGTTAGAATTCCCAGTTCCATGTATTTCAGGCTGAGATAGGGGTTGTTGTCTTTTTCTTTTCTTCTGACTTTTGTCAGGCACATATGTCGAGTTGTAGGGACATCACACTCCGACAGAAGATCATCGTCTCACCGTTCGACCACCAAACTTGCCTTGACGAGCTGCCCTTGATCATGCAGGCAGCACAGGACGCGTCGAGCATCAATGCAGTAGGGCCGATGCTTCCCGCTCCAACAATAGTGCGACCAGGTGATCCGAATGCACTGCACTGGCTAGGGATGACGATGGTTGGTAATGAGCGGAAGTTGTTAATCCACTAAAGTCAGAGGATTGAGCTGTCGAATCACCACATCTCCCCACCGGGGCGACCCAGCGCCGCCCACCCCTAAAAAAACCCCCCCACTGAATGCTGCTCTTTTATGTTTTTTCCCACGGAAATGATATAATCACGTGCGTATTTTCCAACCCTTTTCTTCCCTCGGTATGATTTTTTGGGGGCTTCTGCTTTGTTTGGAGTTTAGTTACATTTGGGTGGTCATTTTGTATATCCATGGTTTCTTTTCCTTTCCTTTCTTTCTTTTTTTTTTTTTTTTTTTTTTTTTTCATTCTATTTTCTT